TTTACCTGGGTTAATGACCGATGTCTGATTCCTGTTTGGCGGCCATTACACAACTCCAGACGTTTGGCACATCGGAAGGCGCGGCCACCTCGGATATGGCTAAGTCTCTAGTTTTCCTTGACTTTCTTCTTTTCTTTCATTTCAGTGCAGTTGTTTCTCAACCTCTGAACAATTGATGAAAGAATAAGTTTTGTTTTACATTCACTTTGATATGGATGGACCTCCATGGTCATTTATTTGGCGCCACTCCATTGGCAGATGCAGCTCTTGTTTTGGCATCTTATTAAGTTATCTGGTCCTCCATGGTCACTTATTCGCGGTGCCATTTTAGCTGCAGGAGTAATGCGCTCAATGGGACAATATTGGTTATCTGGTCCTCCATGGTCTTTTTCACTTGCGATGACATTCCAGCTGCACGTGCAAAGCAGTTTTCCCAACGGTTTCTTGAAGTTGGTCCTCGACGGTCAGGAGCTCGCGGTGTCACCCCATCTGCGTAATGCAGTTGGCAAAATGCAGTAGATGCTGCAGTCAAGAAGCTGAGCAAATTCATTTTGTTCAGAGTTGCCATATCAAATTTGTCAAATGACATGTCAGTAATATTTTAAAGATTGCTATGTTTAAGTAATGGAAAAATATATTCGGGCTGGCTGGCGACTGTATATTTCAGTCGTCAGTTGCTTTCATTGTTCCAGCGTGAACACAACTAAAAAAAAAAAAAAAAAAAAAAAAAAAAAAGCTGAAAAATTTAAATCTGACAAAGGGAAATAAAAATCGGAAAACTGAAACTGGAAACGCTGAAAAGTGAAGGCCTGAAAAATCTGGAAACGGAAAATATCTGGGTAAAATATTTATTATACTTACCTTGGAGAAACCTGAAAAAGAAGTTTGGTCACTTACCTTTTGGAGGAGCTCTTAAGTCCGGGGGAATGTTAGGATGAAGAGAAAGAATAAGTGTACGAAGAATGTGAGTTTGAAGTCGGTGGGAGGCCCACCGCGTATTGGTGCTGCCAAGGGGGCACCTGCCAAGAATGGGAAGCATCCCGTCTTAGATGGTTGGTTTTCAACCCCATCTGTCAATCCTGGCTGGCCGCCTATTCCGGTGGCGCCAAAGCAGCCATTCACTAAGGACAGCTGGTCCAAATATGATGCTACCAAGCAGCCATCACACACTATATGGGAGGATACAAATGATGACGACAATGATAGTATTTTTGCGTGCAATGATTCGGACTCTGTTTATTCGGATATGACGCTAACTGACGTGGACAACGTTGATGAGTCAGAGCCCGCCACTAAGCATCAGAAGATGCACAAACCTGTTGCTGCTGGAGGATGGATGGCGCAGGAGCCACTTGTTGACTTCCGTAGGTCAAAAGAAACCATTAGTGCACTGTGCACTGCAATGGATTCTCCTGAGGCTGCTGTACTTAGCAGCCCAAGCCAGCCCAAGAGCAGGAAGAGGAGGTGTGTAAGTCCCTCAGCCAATACGCGTGTGCTAGGCACACAAAACACGCACACGGGGAAGGATGGAATTTCCGGCTGTGGAGCTGAATCTGTGGCCCCCCAGAAAATTCCTCAAATTTTTCTGCCAGACGTGGCTGCCATACAGTCTTTAATGGACAAGTTAAGCTACACAGCACACGCTGGTAGCTTTACCACTAAATGCACACAAGGCAATGGGGTCCGGATCCTCTGTGACAATGTAGAAACTTACAAAACTATTCTGAAGACGCTGGATGATGATAACACACAGTTGTATACTCACCAGCTGAAGTCAAAACGTGGCTACCGAGTCATCATACGCAACCTTCATCACTCAACATCTGTTGAGTGGTTGAAGAGCCAGCTGAGTGAGTTAGGATACACAGTCAAATACGCCACTCCAGTTAAACATCGTTTCACCGGCAACACTTTAAACATGTTTGAAGTTGAGATTGCGCCACTACCTGAACAAGAATACAAGAACATTACAAAGCTTACACGTATTGGATGCCAGCAAGTTGTGGTTGAAGAGCACGTGCGGCGGCTGGATCCAGTTCAATGCCACCGTTGTCAGGCCTTCGGACACAGCAAAAACTATTGCCGAAGACCATTTGTGTGTCTGAAGTGTGCTGGCAATCACATGACAACGGTGTGCGAGAAGCAGCGAGACACGGAGGCTGCTTGCGCCAATTGTAAGGGCAAGCATGTTGCTAGTTATAAGGGCTGCCCTGTGTATAAGTTGGCTAGGAGCAAGCTGCTTGTCTCACGTGCTGAGGTAGCTAGCTGGCAGGCTAAACCACAGCAACAGCAGTCGCCACTCCGGAAGGATAAGCCACTTATGAAGCCGCAACTTCAGCATGAGCACCAACATCAACACCAGCAGTTGGTGCAGCCGCCGGTCAGGCGTAGTGCAAGCCCTTTAATGAAGCAGCAGCCGGAGAAGTCGCAGAAAAGGCAGCCAACTCCAACACAGAACTTACAGAAGAAGACGTACAGCCAGGTGGTGCAGGGTAAGGACACTACTACACATACACGCAACCCAGCGGAGAGGCATCTGGAGAGGTTCCAGGAGAGGCTTTGCGTCGAGCAGCAGGAGAAGCAGCTCCGCAGCCCTCAGCCGAAGAAACAGGAGGAACAAAAGAATACACCATTGCCCTGTACCCCTGAAGCCACTTCCATGCTGGAAATTATTCAGCAACACACTGTCTTGGTGACTGAACTGGGCCGGAAGATGGACGCCTTTTTAACACTGATGATGTCACTTGTGGAAACACTCTCAAAGAGTCACGCCTTACAATTCAATACCGTACAGCCAGTCCAAGATAACTTGAAGCCCAGTGAACACGTTCAAAAATGAAACTTATACCAGAAATCACGCCCTGCTGAAGTCACCCTCAACACTTCAAACAAGTCTACTCAGTCCATGATGTCCAAGCCAACACGTGAAATCTAGTCCGCACATGAAGTCAAGACAGTCCAAATAATCACAGTCAAGATATCCAAGAAGTCCGTGCAAGTCCACAAGAAAACACACCAGACACACAATTCTGTACATTTTTGTCAGAATTGTTTTTACACAATTGTTTATACTGCCAACACTATTTTCGGAGGTTACTTAGTTTGTAGTAATGTGGAAATAAATAAGGGTAGCTGGCTATTATTTTAAATAGTCGTCAGTTGCTTCCAATGTTCCGATGTGAACACAACTGAAAAAAAAAAAAAAAAAAAGTCCACTACAAGTGCGTGCTCTCCCAGCACAACAATTGTGCCAAAAACAGCTATTTCACAGGCCGCTAAGCGAAAGACAAAGCCGCCAGTTATTGGAGCAAAAATCAAATGCCCTGCACAGCGGGCTTTTGGCTCTTTAAGCTCCAACCGGCTAAAACGCAGATTCGCTGGATTGCCGAGGAAACCTTCTGCCGGTGCTAATCTTTACAGGCGGAGTGTTCCTTCTGAATCTTCTGAATCTGAATCCTTAGTAAGCTGCCCAAATTCCAGCGTGAAAATTGTGCAGCCGAAAGCTATTACCGACCGTGAGCAGAATGTTGTGGTTGAATCCCATATGAAGAGCAACCAGGCGACCTGCTCTGAGGTTAAAATTCCTGCTATTTTTGTGCATGACGTTATTGAAATCCAGCCATTGCTGGATAAAGTTAACAACATTCCGGGCATCGGCAAGTTCACTACCAAATGCTCTAAATTCAATGGAGTCAAATTCATTTGCGAGGATTTGAACACATACCGTGCCCTGTTGAGCGCATTAAAAAATGATGACACTGATCTACATACCCATCAGCTTCGCAGCGACCGTGGGTATAGGGTCGTCATTCGCCAGCTACATCACTCGACACCGACCGAGTGGATAAACAACACATTACGCAGCCTCGGCTTTGGTGTCAGGAATGTCAACGTTATTAAGCACAATAGGACTCTCCAGCCTATGAACATCTTCGCCGTGGAGCTTCAGCCTACTATTGACAACTCTAACGACGCGATCCTGTCTCTCACACTGCTGGGAAACCAGCGAGTTGTAGTGGAGAGACAACTGAGAGAAGACAGGATCCCGCTCAATGTCATCGCTGCCAGCTATTTGGACACACAAAAAATTACTGCCGCCGCCCTTTTATCTGCATGAAGTGTGCGGGAGCGCATCCTTCCACGGCCTGCAGTGCGACGAGGATCGCCAATCCTAAGTGCGCCAATTGCGGAGGCAGCCATGTGTCCTGCTACAAAGGTTGCCCCAAATATAAAGAGGCTCGGGCAAAGCTTCTTATCAACAAACTGCGCTCGGAGCTGCCCACCTCCTCATCTGGGAGCGGCGGGCTCTGGTCAGCAGCAGCAGCATCAGCAGCAGCGGCAGCAGCAGCGGCAGCAGCATCGGCAGCAGCAAGCAGCAGCAGCATCAGCAGCAGCATCAGCAGCAGTCAAAATCGGCAGCACCAACAGCAGCAGCAACAGCAGCAGCAGCAGCAGCAGCTAAAACAGCAGCAGCAACAGCAGCAGCAGTTAAAACAACAGCAGCAGCGCAAAAACAGCAGCAGCAGCTAAAACAGCAGCAGCAGCAGCAGCAGCAGCAGCTAAAACAACAACAACAGCAGGATCAGCAGCAAACTTCGCCACGGCTTCAATGTGGCCCGGTGGATTATGTACCACGGCTACTTGCAGTTGAGGCAAGCCTAAATAAACTGCTGTTAATGGAACGCAAGGTAGATGCCCTTGTTAACCTGGTGCAAGCCTTTCTGTCCACTAAAGGGAGTGACCTTAGTTCGCTCATACAAGGACATAAAGCTAATTAAATAAAAAATACAGACACCTCAAATTAATACAGCACAACAAGCTATCACAATTTCTACAATTTTTATTACAATATAAACTTCATTATAAATTATAAAATCACAATATAAAAATTACATACTATAAACTACATAATACAACTATAAAACTACAACATAATTATAAAGAATATAAATATAATTATAACATATTAAAATATTAAAATACTAAAACATTAAAATAATATCCAGCGCGATTTCTGCCGCCTGCCGTTAACACTGCGAACTCTCGCCAATATTTGTTGAGGTGTCTGCATATTACTTGCAGTGGCTTCGCTGCTGCCTCCCAACGCTAAAACAAAATTAAATAAATTAAACAAACACGCTACTATGCTATATGGGGACAATTAATGCTCCACTACTTACCGACGACTCCTGTATGATGCGGCGCTGCGGACTGCTCCAGATGCACTCCTGCTATTTTTGGATTTCTGGTGCTCCGTCCCTGCATCGTGATACGTTCGTCTGGTACTCCTGCTATTAAAACAAAATGCATGTTATTAGCTTTTGTTTATCTACAAAACACAAACTGCACTTACCTGTTCATCCATGGCTGACTCCTGATGCGGCTCTTCACGTCGAGGGAGGCTCTTCTTTGTGTCCTTCTCTGATGTTGGCCTGCTGTCCGGGGGAGCCTGTAAAGATTAAGCGTATCAAGTTATTACTTTTTATCATTTTGTACTTTAATTCATTAATTTAATGTTCACTATTCGCAAACATCGTTTGTAAACATCGGCTGGCGTTGCCAGATGGCTGATTTAATCAGCTGTTTTTCTGGCTGCGGCTGGCGCCAACCTTTGTCACAGTGGCTAATTGTACTGTAAAAAATGTTATTTTTAAAATTATTTTATATTTACTTTTTTTTTTGTAAAATTTTTTTTCATAAATTCTATTCATATTTGTCTAGTACGTAATGTAAGAACAAATAAAGAAAGGCTTTGCAGGCAACTTTTAGTTGTCTGTGAGCCCTTATTGTGCGAGCATCGCGAGCACCACACTGAAAAGTACGTAATGTAAGAACAAATAAAGAAAGGCTTTGCAGGCAACTTTTAGTTGTCTGTGAGCCCTTATTGTGCGAGCATCGCGAGCACCACACTGAAAAAAAACGCTACTATGCTGTATGGGGACAATTAATGCCTCACTACTTACCGACGACTCCTGTATGATGCGGCGCTGCGGACTGCTCCAGATGCACTCCTGCTATTTTTGGATTTCTGGTGCTCCGTCCCTGCATCGTGATACGTTCGTCTGGTACTCCTGCTATTAAAACAAAATGCATGTTATTAGCTTTTGTTTATCTACAAAACACAAACTGCACTTACCTGTTCATCCATGGCTGACTCCTGATGCGGCTCTTCACGTCGAGGGAGGCTCTTCTTTGTGTCCTTCTCTGATGTTGGCCTGCTGTCCGGGGGAGCCTGTAAAGATTAAGCGTATCAAGTTATTACTTTTTATCATTTTGTACTTTAATTCATTAATTTAATGTTCACTATTCGCAAACATCGTTTGTAAACATCGGCTGGCGTTGCCAGATGGCTGATTTAATCAGCTGTTTTTCTGGCTGCGGCTGGCGCCAACCTTTGTCACAGTGGCTAATTGTACTGTAAAAAATGTTATTTTTAAAATTATTTTATATTTACTTTTTTTTTGTAAAATTTTTTTTCATAAATTCTATTCATATTTGTCTAGTACGTAATGTAAGAACAAATAAAGAAAGGCTTTGCAGGCAACTTTTAGTTGTCTGTGAGCCCTTATTGTGCGAGCATCGCGAGCACCACACTGAAAAAAAAAAAAACACTGAAAAAACCACACTGAAAAAAAAGAAAAAAAAAAAAAGCACCACACTGAAAAAAAAACCACACTGAAAAAAAAAAAGTTAAAAAACTGAAAAAAGTGTAAAAAGTTTAAAAAGTTACAACAACATTTTAGCAACAATTTGCCAAAGTTAAAATGTTTAAACAATAAATATATGCCAAGCAACCAAGCGGCAGCATCATTAATAATAAATAGTTAAAACGGCGCATATAACATCACGCCATTTGTTTTTTCGGCGCAGACAACTCGCTATTAATTAAACAATTAAATCAGTGTTAATCGTTTTCTGTCCTCGTTTTGTGTTTCATTTATACGTGTTAGTGTTCGTCGGCTTTATTGCGGTAAAGCCTTATTTGTGAACTTTGATACGCATGTGCAATGAACTCTTTTCACCAATCGTGCCTGTAGTGTGTATGTGCTGCATACACGCATACTAGAGTGCAACGGTTCTGAACTTGGATAGCATCCACAACGATGGCCAATCAAAACAACTCTAAAGAGAGCGCCATTCCACCGGCACTCGCGCAAGCGCAATTCACTCTCTCGGATCTGCGAGCTCTCTTCTCAGCAGACTCATCACACGATGAGCAAGCAGTGCTGCTTCGCTCTTCGGCAAACTCACCATTTGATGAGCGAGCCGCGTCTGTGCAGTCATCGCTGAGAGCTAATTTCAACTCGCAATCTGTGGAGAGACTTGCAGCCAATGCAGCTACCACCGTTGTGCCCGCCAGCTCGGACACCGACGTCGATATTATGTTTGCTACAACAACTATAAATGCATCAACGTATGAGTCGACACAGCTCAACTTCTCCGAAATGCTGACCGATTTTTGTGGGAAAACGGACAGCACGCTGGAGCCTACTACTACAGCCCAGATGCTACAACAAGCTGCAGAAAAGTCGCTGACTGTCTGCCCTACTCCACGCACTGTAAGTGAACAACCCAAAGCTACTTATGCACAACAGCTGTTGTCCACTACAAGTGCGTGCTCTCCCAGCACAACAATTGTGCCAAAAACAGCTATTTCACAGGCCGCTAAGCGAAAAACAAAGCCGCCAGTTATTGGAGCAAAAAATCAAATGCCCTGCACAGCGGGCTTTTGGCTCTTTAAGCTCCAACCGGCTAAAACGCAGATTCGCTGGATTGCCGAGGAAACCTTCTGCCGGTGCTAATCTTTACAGGCGGAGTGTTCCTTCTGAATCTTCTGAATCTGAATCCTTAGTAAGCTGCCCAAATTCCAGCGTGAAAATTGTGCAGCCGAAAGCTATTACCGACCGTGAGCAGAATGTTGTGGTTGAATCCCATATGAAGAGCAACCAGGCGACCTGCTCTGAGGTTAAAATTCCTGCTATTTTTGTGCATGACGTTATTGAAATCCAGCCATTGCTGGATAAAGTTAACAACATTCCGGGCATCGGCAAGTTCACTACCAAATGCTCTAAATTCAATGGAGTCAAATTCATTTGTGAGGATTTGAACACATACCGTGCCCTGTTGAGCGCATTGAAAAATGATGACACTGATCTACATACCCATCAGCTTCGCAGCGACCGTGGGTATAGGGTCGTCATTCGCCAGCTACATCACTCGACACCGACCGAGTGGATAAACAACACATTACGCAGCCTCGGCTTTGGTGTCAGGAATGTCAACGTTATTAAGCACAATAGGACTCTCCAGCCTATGAACATCTTCGCTGTGGAGCTTCAGCCTACTATTGACAACTTTAATGATACGATCCTGTCTCTCACACTGCTGGGAAACCAGCGAGTTGTTGTGGAGAGACAACTGAGAAGACAGGATCCCGCTCAATGTCATCGCTGTCAACTATTTGGACACACTAAAAATTACTGCCGCCGCCCTTTTATCTGCATGAAGTGTGCGGGAGCGCATCCTTCCACGGCCTGCAGTGCGACGAGGATCGCCAATCCTAAGTGCGCCAATTGCGGAGGCAGCCATGTGTCCTGCTACAAAGGTTGCCCCAAATATAAAGAGGCTCGGGCAAAGCTTCTTATCAACAAACTGCGCTCGGAGCTGCCCACCTCCTCATCTGGGAGCGGCGGGCGCAGTGGTGCTAACACACGCTCTGGCCAGCAGCAGCAGCAGCAGCGGCAGCGGCAGCATCAGCAGCAGCAAAAACAGCAGCACCAACAGCAGCAGCAGCAGCAGCGTCAACATCAGCAGCAGCAGCAGCAGCAGTTAAAACAGCAGCAGCATCAGCAGCAGCTAAAACAGCAGCAGCAACAGCAGCAGCAGCTAAAACAGCAGCAGCAACAGCAGCATCAGCAGCAGCTAAAACAGCAGCAGCAACAGCAGCAGCAGCAGCAGCATCAGCAGCAGCAGCATCAGCAGCTAATACAACAACAACAGCAGGACCAGCAGCCAACTTCGCCACGGCTTCAATGTGGTCCGGTGGATAATGCACCACGGCTACTTGCAGTTGAGGCAGGTCTAAATAGACTGCTGTTAATGGAACGCAAGGTAGATGCCCTTGTTAACCTGGTGCAAGCCTTTCTGTCCACTAAAGGGAGTGACCTTAGTTCGCTCATACAAGGACATAAAGCTAATTAAATAAAAATACAGACACCTCAAATTAATACAGCACAACAAGCTATCACAATTTCTACAATTTTATTACAATATAAACTTCATTATAAATTATAAAATCACAATATAAAAATTACATACTATAAACTACATAATACAACTATAAAACTACAACATAATTATAAAGAATATAAATATAATTATAACATATTAAAATATTTAAATACTAAATTATTAAAATAATATCCAGCGCGACTTCTGCCGCCTGCCGCTAACACAACGCACTCCCGCTAAAGTTGATTGAGGTGTCTGACTATTAACTGCAGCGGCTCCGCTGTTGCAAACCAATCCTAAAACAAAATTAAACAAACACGTTAATATGCTGTATGGGGACAATTAATGCCTCACTACTTACCGACGACTCCTGTATGATGCGGCGCTGCGGACTGCTCCGGATGCACTCCTGCTATTTCTGGATCTCTGGTGCTCCGTCCCTGCATCGTGATACGTTCGTCTGGTACTCCTGCTATTAAAACAAAATGCTTGTCATTAGCTTTTGTTTATCTATAAAACACAAACTGCACTTACCTGTTCATCCATGGCTGACTCCTGATGCGGCTCTTCACGTCGAGGGAGGCTCTCCTTTGTGTCCTTCTTAGATGTTGCCTTGTCCGGGGGAGCCTGCAAAGATTAAGCGTATCATAGTTAATACTTTTATCATTATATATTCTATTTTAATAACTTAAATGTTTCGCTAATTGCAAACATCGTTTGTAAACATCGGCTGGCGTTGCCAGATGGCTTATTTAAACAGCTGTTTTTCTGGCTGCAGCCGGCGCCAACCTTTGTCACAGTGGCTAATTGTACTGTAAAAAATGTTATTTTTCAAAATTATTTTATATTTACTTTTTTTTTGTAAAATTTTTTTTCATAAATTCTTTTCATATTTGTCTAGTACGTAATGTAAGAACAAATAAAGAAAGGCTTTGCAGGCAACTTTTAGTTGTCTGTGAGCCCTTATTGTGCGAGCATCGCGAGCACCACACTGAAAAAAAAAAGTGGTTGAAGAGCCAGCTGAGTGAGTTAGGATACACAGTCAAATACGCCACTCCAGTTAAACATCGTTTCACCGGCAACACTTTAAACATGTTTGAAGTTGAGATTGCGCCACTACCTGAACAAGAATACAAGAACATTACAAAGCTTACACGTATTGGATGCCAGCAAGTTGTGGTTGAAGAGCACGTGCGGCGGCTGGATCCAGTTCAATGCCACCGTTGTCAGGCCTTCGGACACAGCAAAAACTATTGCCGAAGACCATTTGTGTGTCTGAAGTGTGCTGGCAATCACATGACAACGGTGTGCGAGAAGCAGCGAGACACGGAGGCTGCTTGCGCCAATTGTAAGGGCAAGCATGTTGCTAGTTATAAGGGCTGCCCTGTGTATAAGTTGGCTAGGAGCAAGCTGCTTGTCTCACGTGCTGAGGTAGCTAGCTGGCAGGCTAAACCACAGCAACAGCAGTCGCCACTCCGGAAGGATAAGCCACTTATGAAGCCGCAACTTCAGCATGAGCACCAACATCAACACCAGCAGTTGGTGCAGCCGCCGGTCAGGCGTAGTGCAAGCCCTTTAATGAAGCAGCAGCCGGAGAAGTCGCAGAAAAGGCAGCCAACTCCAACACAGAACTTACAGAAGAAGACGTACAGCCAGGTGGTGCAGGGTAAGGACACTACTACACATACACGCAACCCAGCGGAGAGGCATCTGGAGAGGTTCCAGGAGAGGCTTTGCGTCGAGCAGCAGGAGAAGCAGCTCCGTAGCCCTCAGCCGAAGAAACAGGAGGAACAAATGAATACACCATTGCCCTGTACCCCTGAAGCCACTTCCATGTTGGAAATTATTCAGCAACACACTGTCTTGGTGACGGAACTAGGCCGGAAGATGGACGCCTTTTTAACACTGATGATGTCACTTGTGGAAACACTCTCAAAGAGTCACGCCTTACAATTCAATACCGTACAGCCAGTCCAAGATAACTTGAAGCCCAATGAACACGTTCAAGAAAAGAACTTATACCAAAAGTCACGCCCTGCCTAAGTCACCCTGAACATTTCAAACAAGAAGCCAGGTTTATCCACACAGTCCAGTCCGTCCGTGAAGTCAATTCAAGCTACATAAGTTCAAGAAACACGCCAGACACACAATTCTGAACATTTTTGTCGGAATTGTTTTTACACAATTTTGTTTATACTGTCAACACTATTTTCATATGTTGCTAGGTTTTCAAAGTAATGCGAAAATAAATAAGGGTAGCTGGCGATTATTTTAAATAGTCGTCAGTTGCTTCCAATGTTCCGATGTGAACACAACTGAAAAAAAACAAGAAGAAGAGGCCATCTGCTCTGGATTTTGCTGTCTTTGGTGGTTTGGGAAGTGCTCGGCTTCGCACTTTCTCTACAATAGATCTGGATTCAGATCATTTGCCGATTCATGTGGATTTAGCAACAAAAGGGACAAGCATTGATACGCGGCCGGGTCTAAGGCGCACAATTTTACCCAGGAATGCAAATATTGGCAAGTTTCAGGCATACCTCAACCAGCGAGTGTTGCTCAATGTGGAAATTAATTCTGGTGCTGACATTGAAGATGCTATTGATGTGTTCATCAATAACATTAATGAGGCTGCGAAATTTGCATCACCGCCACAACTTTGGCAGAAACAGCGGAACAATACATCCTGTATGGGGTCAAGACTTGATGATGAGACCGGAAAGCTGCTGCAGCTCAAGCGTAAGTACAAGCGTGAGTTCCTGATCTTGGGTACGCCGTTGGCTAGGCAGAGGTACAGACAGGTACAAAATCGCCTGAGGAAAGCGCTGAGCTTGTTAAAGGTTAACCACCTTAATCATTTGTTTAAGCAAATTGATGTGAAGGACCGGTACAGGATGCAAAAGTTGTGGAGAATGACACAAACTTTGAAGCGGCAGGTGGAGCCCAATTGGCCGCTAAAGGCTCGTTCTGATGGTGATGTTGGCGGGCCAGTCTGGACGCGAACCAATGCTGAGAAAGCTGAGGAGTTTGTCTCTCACCTTGAACGGCGCTTTATGCCTAACTACTTGAACACAGAGGAGGATCGAAAGAAGGTTACTGATGAGTGGCAGCTCCTGGAGCTGCGGCAGCGACGTGTTGATGGCGATGGCGGTGCGTCTGGCGCCCCATTGCCCTTCCGTCCTGTTACTCTCAGTGAAGTCACTTTGGAGATCAAGTCCCTTGCCTTAAAGAAGTCCCCTGGTTTGGATAACATTAGCAACCATGTTATTAAGGTGCTGCCAGTGAAGTCGTTGCTATATCTTGTGCTGCTGTTCAATTCCATACTGAGGTTCGGGCACTTTCCACAGCAGTGGAAGTGTGCTGGGATTACGATGTTGCTGAAGCCTGGTAAATCTACAGAGAGTGTCTCCTCGTATCGCCCCATAAGCCTTTTGTCTGGCTTTTCGAAGCTGTTTGAAAAAGTGCTTATGCGGAGGCTTTTTGAGTGCAAGGATTTTGCCAGTGCCGTACCCAGTCACCAGTTTGGATTTCGGAAGGAGCATAGTGCGGAACAACAGCTTGCCCGTGTGACGCAGTTTATCCTTGGTGCATATGAAAGGCGGCAGTATTGCTCTGCTGTATTCGTTGACATCAGCGAAGCATTTGACAGAGTGTGGCATGCAGGACTTCTGTATAAGTTGATCAGGCTTTTGCCGCCAACTTTGTATAGAGTTCTCCAAAGCTATTTGAGTGATCGTAGCTTTGTCGTCAACACTGGTGGTGTGAGGTCTAGGCCAGGCATAATCTGCGCTGGGGTACCACAGGGCAGCGTGCTTGGTCCTATCCTTTACACCATCTCCTCGTCGGATATGCCGCTCCCATCGCTGATCAGAAGTGAGCAACTGTCTGCCTTCCCAAGTGATTGCACTATGCTATTGTCAACGTATGCTGATGACACCATTGTTTTATGTGCGCACAATGGTGCTCGGGAAGCAATTAGAGGGAATCAGTGTTTCCTGAATAAGTTCATGGCGTGGGCTAACTATTGGTGTATTAAGATCAATGTTAGCAAGACGGCACATGTTGTGTTTTCCAGACGACGTCCCGCCCATTCCCTTAAATTGCCAGCCATTAAGCTTGATGGACAAATTGTTGAGATGCAATCCAAGCAAAGATATCTGGGCTTGCTTTTGGATCGGAAGCTTATTCTCCACAGTCACGTCACACAGCTCTGCATTAGGCTGCGAGCCCTTTGCAGGAAGCTTGACTGGCTGCTTGGAAGAAGTAGTATGCTGCATAGGAGCTGCAAAGTGGTGGTTTACAAGCAGTTGATGGCCCCAGTATGGCAGTATGCATTTCCAATTTGGGGAGCTCTAGTTTCAAACACACAGATGCGCCGCATTGAAACTTTGCAAAATGTCATCTTACGCAAAATATTGCAAGTCAGTTGGTACACCAGGAACCAGGTGATTAGAGACTCCTACAACATTAAGACGGTCGAGGATGTATTTCAGGTGGCCAGTAGTCGGTATGCTTCTTCATTGGGCACGCACCCGAATATGGAGGCTCGAAGATTGCTATTTCAGCCGTTTGTGCCAGTACGTCTTGTGCGTCCTAGGTACACTCAGCAGTTGGATACGCACATCCTGCCACTTCAGCGCCAGTTCCAGATTCGACCCACACTGGAGGAAGAGTTACCGACACTTTTGCTAATTGAGCAGAGGGAGCAAAATGCTGTTCGCGAGGCCAGGGAACTGGACCGGCTGCGTCAGTTATGCCTGCAGTCTTCTGGGAGAATGAGTGAAATGGTCATAAACTCGCTGCGCCGTAGATACCGAGATGGGCTCATCTCTCGAGAACGGGTAGAGGCGCTTATTGCACATCAGCCCCCGCAAATTCAGAACATAATTCTGCCTCAGCTGCGCCAGCCTGGCGAGCAACAAGACGCTCCGGCTATTTGGCAACTGCAGCGGAAAGTGCACTTACCTGCTCGGTTTGATGGTGGGAGAATCAACGCACTCCGTCGTGACTTAGGCTTGGCCGCATCACACGTGAGAAACTTGAGCAAGTGATTAGAGGCCAACCAGCTCAGATTAAGGAGTTGATTTTACCCTCGGTTCGGGCTGCAGGTGGAGATGAGTCTGTGCTGATTCAGGATGTTCCCATGCAGCAGCAGCAGGCGCTGATGCACTTGAATCCAGAGTCAATACCATTGAAACGAAAATGCAACTCCCCACTGATGGAGGAAAATCGGTTGAGCATACGTCCATATATGAGTATAGAGAAGGTGTTGGAGGTGCCTCAACTTGGGCAACAAGCTACGCAAAGTGATGTGGTTGTGCAACATCAGAGCCAGCATTCCCCCAGTGTTGGTATATCTGAGTTGAATGCGCGGTTTGTGGCTTTGCAACAGCAACTTGTGCAGGATTTGGATGATGAGCTCCTTCTTGAGCAGCAGAAGTGTAATGAGCAAATGATGACGAAGCAGCCTGAGCTGTTTCAGTGTAGACCTTTGGAGTCCACGTTTTTTCCGGACCAGCTTTTGTCTGTACGGATTCAGCGTCATCTGCTGATGCAGCAATTTCAAGCTACCTCAGTCAAGCGGCCGTGTAGCTTTCCACTGATGCCCTCTAAGCGGTTATGCACGCATCCATATAGGCACCATATAATGCCGCGCAGAAGTAATCCGGAGAAGCGGAAGATTAAGCGGGCATTGCCACCTGCTAAACGGATGTGCACTTGTGAATGTGTAGACAAATTGCCAGATCGGACTAATCCATGTATGCATGTAAGGCCTTCAAACTCGATTTTGCTGCCGTGGCAACAGCAACAAAGTCTGGAGGAGACCCTACAGCAGCAGCAGCGACGATCGTTTTCTTTGCCTAAGCGTCCCTTGCACCATTTGTGGCAGGACTGACGAAGGCAGGTGCTCAGTCCTTGGAGATTGCAGCGACAATGTGCTAGTGGTGCGCAGCAGTTAACCTGGGTTGATGACCGGTGTCCGATTCCCCTTTGGCGGCCATTACACAACTCCAGACGTTTGGCACATCGGAAGGCGCGGCCACCTCGGATATGGCTAAGTCTCTAGTTTTCCTTGACTTTCTTCTTTTCTTTCATTTCAGTGCAGTTGTTTCTCAACCTCTGAACAATTGATGAAAGAATAAGTTTTGTTTTACATTCACTTTGATATGGATGGACCTCCATGGTCATTTATTTGGCGCCACTCCATTGGCAGATGCAGCTCTTGTTTTGGCATCTTATTAAGTTATCTGGTCCTCCATGGTCACTTATTCGCGGTGCCATTTCAGCTGCAGGAGTAATGCGCTCAATGGGACAATATTGGTTATCTGGTCCTCCATGGTCTTTTTCACTTGCGATGACATTCCAGCTGCACGTGCAAAGCAGTTTTCCCAACGGTTTCTTGAAGTTGGTCCTCGACGGTCAGGAGCTCGCGGTGTCACCCCATCTGCGTAATGCAGTTGGCAAAATGCAGTAGATGCTGCAGTCAAGAAGCTGAGCAAATTCATTTTGTTCAGAGTTGCCATATCAAATTTGTCAAATGACATGTCAGTAATATTTTAAAGATTGCTATGTTTAAGTAATGGAAAAATATATTCGGGCTGGCTGGCGACTGTATATTTCTGGTTTTTTAAGATTGGTTTTTTTTAAGAAAAGAAAAAAATATTTGGGGGGGGGGGGGCTGTTTTTTTTTCTCATATTTGTTCCAGCGTGAACAATAAACATATGCCAAGCAACCAAGCGGCAGCATCATTAATAATAAATAGTTAAAACGGCGCATATAACATCACGCCATTTGTTTTTTCGGCGCAGACAACTCGCTATTAATTAAACAATTAAATCAGTGTTAATCGTTTTCTGTCCTCGTTTTGTGTTTCATTTATACGTGTTAGTGTTCGTCGGCTTTATTGCGGTAAAGCCTTATTTGTGAACTTTGATACGCATGTGCAATGAACTCTTTTCACCAATCGTGCCTGTAGTGTGTATGTGCTGCATACACGCATACTAGAGTGCAACGGTTCTGAACTTGGATAGCATCCACAACGATGGCCAATCAAAACAACTCTAAAGAGAGCGCCATTCCACCGGCACTCGCGCAAGCGCAATTCACTCTCTCGGATCTGCGAGCTCTCTTCTCGGCAGACTCATCACACGATGAGCAAGCAGTGCTGCTTCGCTCTTCGGCAAACTCACCATTTGATGAGCGAGCCGCGTCTGTGCAGTCATCGCTGAGAGCTAATTTCAACTCGCAATCTGTGGAGAGACTTGCAGCCAATGCAGCTACCACCGTTGTGCCCGCCAGCTCGGACACCGACGTCGATATTATGTTTGCTACAACAACTATAAATGCATCAACGTATGAGTCGACACAGCTCAACTTCTCCGAAATGCTGACCGATTTTTGTGGGAAAACGGACAGCACGCTGGAGCCTACTACTACAGCCCAGATGCTACAACAAGCTGCAGAAAAGTCGCTGACTGTCTGCCCTACTCCACGCACTGTAAGTGAACAACCCAAAGCTACTTATGCACAACAGCTGTTGTCCACTACAAGTGCGTGCTCTCCCAGCACAACAATTGTGCCAAAAACAGCTATTTCACAGGCCGCTAAGCGAAAGACAAAGCCGCCAGTTATTGGAGCAAAAATCAAATGCCCTGCACAGCGGGCTTTTGGCTCTTTAAGCTCCAACCGGCTAAAACGCAGATTCGCTGGATTGCCGAGGAAACCTTCTGCCGGTGCTAATCTTTACAGGCGGAGTGTTCCTTCTGAATCTTCTGAATCTGAATCCTTAGTAAGCTGCCCAAATTCCAGCGTGAAAATTGTGCAGCCGAAAGCTATTACCGACCGTGAGCAGAATGTTGTGGTTGAATCCCATATGAAGAGCAACCAGGCGACCTGCTCTGAAGTTAAAATTCCTGCTATTTTTGTGCATGACGTTATTGAAATCCAGCCATTGCTGGATAAAGTTAACAACATTCCGGGCATTGGCAAGTTCACTACCAAATGCTCTAAATTCAATGGAGTCAAATTCATTTGCGAGGATTTGAACACATACCGTGCCCTGTTGAGCGCATTAAAAAATGATGACACTGATCTACATACCCATCAGCTTCGCAGCGACCGTGGGTATAGGGTCGTCATTCGCCAGCTACATCACTCGACACCGACCGAGTGGATAAACAACACATTACGCAGCCTCGGCTTTGGTGTCAGGAATGTCAACGTTATTAAGCACAATAGGACTCTCCAGCCTATGAACATCTTCGCTGTGGAGCTTCAGCCTACTATTGACAACTTTAATGACACGATCCTGTCTCTCACACTGCTGGGAAACCAGCGAGTTGTTGTGGAGAGACAACTGAGAAGACAGGATCCCGCTCAATGTCATCGCTGTCAACTATTTGGACACACAAAAAATTACTGCCGCCGCCCTTTTATCTGCATGAAGTGTACGGGAGCGCATCCTTCCACGGCCTGCAGTGCGACGAGGATCGCCAATCCTAAGTGCGCCAATTGCGGAGGCAGCCATGTGTCCTGCTACAAAGGTTGCCCCAAATATAAAGAGGCTCGGGCAAAGCTTCTTATCAACAAACTGCGCTCGGAGCTGCCCACCTCCTCATCTGGGAGCGGCGGGCGCAGTGGCGCTAACACACGCTCTGGTCAGCAGCAGCAGCAGCATCAGCAGCATCAGCAGCAGCAGCATCAGCAGCAGCAGCATCAGCAGCAGCAGCAGCATCAGCAGCAGCATCAGCAGCAGCAAAAACGGCAGCACCTACAGCAGCAGCAGCAGCAGCGTCAACATCAGCAGCAGCAGCAGCAGCAGTTAAAACAACAGCAGCAGCAAAAACAGCAGCAGCAGCTAAAACAGCAACAACAGCAGCAACAGCTAAAACAGCAGCAGCAGCAGCAGCAGCAGCAGCTAAAACAACAACAACAGCAGGATCAGCAGCAAACTTCGCCACGGCCTCAATGTGGCCCGGTGGATAATGCACCACGGCTACTTGCAGTTGAGGCAGGTCTAAATAGACTGCTGTTAATGGAACGCAAGGTAGATGCCCTTGTTAACCTGGTGCAAGCCTTTCTGTCCACTAAAGGGAGTGACCTTAGTTCGCTCATACAAGGACATAAAGCTAATTAAATAAAAAATACAGACACCTCAAATTAATACAGCACAACAAGCTATCACAATTTCTACAATTTTTATTACAATATAAACTTCATTATAAATTATAAAATCACAATATAAAAATTACATACTATAAACTACATAATACAACTATAAAACTACAACATAATTATAAAGAATATAAATATAATTATAACATATTAAAATATTAAAATACTAAAACATTAAAATAATATCCAGCGCGATTTCTGCCGCCTGCCGTTAACACTGCGAACTCTCGCCAATATTTGTTGAGGTGTCTGCATATTACTTGCAGTGGCTTCGCTGCTGCCTCCCAACGCTAAAACAAAATTAAATAAATTAAACAAACACGCTACTATGCTATATGGGGACAATTAATGCCCCACTACTTACCGACGACTCCTGTATGATGCGGCGCTGCGGACTGCTCCAGATGCACTCCTGCTATTTTTGGATTTCTGGTGCTCCGTCCCTGCATCGTGATACGTTCGTCTGGTACTCCTGCTATTAAAACAAAATGCATGTTATTAGCTTTTGTTTATCTACAAAACACAAACTGCACTTACCTGTTCATCCATGGCTGACTCCTGATGCGGCTCTTCACGTCGAGGGAGGCTCTTCTTTGTGTCCTTCTCTGATGTTGGCCTGCTGTCCGGGGGAGCCTGTAAAGATTAAGCGTATCAAGTTATTACTTTTTATCATTTTGTACTTTAATTCATTAATTTAATGTTCACTATTCGCAAACATCGTTTGTAAACATCGGCTGGCGTTGCCAGATGGCTGATTTAATCAGCTGTTTTTCTGGCTGCGGCTGGCGCCAACCTTTGTCACAGTGGCTAATTGTACTGTAAAAAATGTTATTTTTAAAATTATTTTATATTTACTTTTTTTTTGTAAAATTTTTTTTCATAAATTCTATTCATATTTGTCTAGTACGTAATGTAAGAACAAATAAAGAAAGGCTTTGCAGGCAACTTTTAGTTGTCTGTGAGCCCTTATTGTGCGAGCATCGCGAGCACCACACTGAAAAAAAAAAAAGAAAGGCTTTGCAGGCAACTTTTAGTTGTCTGTGAGCCCACATTTGAAAAAGCATCGCGAGCACCACACTGAAAAAAAAACACACTGAAAAAAAAAAAAAAAAAAAAAAAGTTAAAAAACTGAAAAAAGTGTAAAAAGTTTAAAAAGTTACAACAACATTTTAGCAACAATTTGCCAAAGTTAAAATGTTTAAACAATAAATATATGCCAAGCAACCAAGCGGCAGCATCATTAATAATAAATAGTTAAAACGGCGCATATAACATCACGCCATTTGTTTTTTCGGCGCAGACAACTCGCTATTAATTAAACAATTAAATCAGTGTTAATCGTTTTCTGTCCTCGTTTTGTGTTTCATTTATACGTGTTAGTGTTCGTCGGCTTTATTGCGGTAAAGCCTTATTTGTGAACTTTGATACGCATGTGCAATGAACTCTTTTCACCAATCGTGCCTGTAGTGTGTATGTGCTGCATACACGCATACTAGAGTGCAACGGTTCTGAACTTGGATAGCATCCACAACGATGGCCAATCAAAACAACTCTAAAGAGAGCGCCATTCCACCGGCACTCGCGCAAGCGCAATTCACTCTCTCGGATCTGCGAGCTCTCTTCTCGGCAGACTCATCACACGATGAGCAAGCAGTGCTGCTTCGCTCTTCGGCAAACTCACCATTTGATGAGCGAGCCGCGTCTGTGCAGTCATCGCTGAGAGCTAATTTCAACTCGCAATCTGTGGAGAGACTTGCAGCCAATGCAGCTACCACCGTTGTGCCCGCCAGCTCGGACACCGACGTCGATATTATGTTTGCTACAACAACTATAAATGCATCAACGTATGAGTCGACACAGCTCAACTTCTCCGAAATGCTGACCGATTTTTGTGGGAAAACGGACAGCACGCTGGAGCCTACTACTACAGCCCAGATGCTACAACAAGCTGCAGAAAAGTCGCTGACTGTCTGCCCTACTCCACGCACTGTAAGTGAACAACCCAAAGCTACTTATGCACAACAGCTGTTGTCCACTACAAGTGCGTGCTCTCCCAGCACAACAATTGTGCCAAAAACAGCTATTTCACAGGCCGCTAAGCGAAAGACAAAGCCGCCAGTTATTGGAGCAAAAATCAAATGCCCTGCACAGCGGGCTTTTGGCTCTTTAAGCTCCAACCGGCTAAAACGCAGATTCGCTGGATTGCCGAGGAAACCTTCTGCCGGTGCTAATCTTTACAGGCGGAGTGTTCCTTCTGAATCTTCTGAATCTGAATCCTCAGTAAGCTGCCCAAATTCCAGCGTGAAAATTGTGCAGCCGAAAGCTAATACTGACCGTGAGCAGAATGTTGCGGTTGAATCCCATATGAAGAGCAACCAGGCGACCTGCTCTGAGGTTAAAATTCCTGCTATTTTTGTGCATGACGTTATTGAAATCCAGCCATTGCTGGATAAAGTTAACAACATTCCGGGCATTGGCAAGTTCACTACCAAATGCTCTAAATTCAATGGAGTCAAATTCATTTGCGAGGATTTGAACACATACCGTGCCCTGTTGAGCGCATTAAAAAATGATGACACTGATCTACATACCCATCAGCTTCGCAGCGACCGTGGGTATAGGGTCGTCATTCGTCAGCTACATCACTCGACACCGACCGAGTGGATTAACAACAAATTACGCAGCCTCGGCTTTGGTGTCAGGAATGTCAACGTTATTAAGCACAATAGGACTCTCCAGCCTATGAACATCTTCGCTGTGGAGCTTCAGCCTACTATTGACAACTTTAATGACACGATCCTGTCTCTCACACTGCTGGGAAACCAGCGAGTTGTTGTGGAGAGACAACTGAGAAGACAGGATCCCGCTCAATGTCATCGCTGTCAACTATTTGGACACACAAAAAATTACTGCCGCCGCCCTTTTATCTGCATGAAGTGTGCGGGAGCGCATCCTTCCACGGCCTGCAGTGCGACGAGGATCGCCAATCCTAAGTGCGCCAATTGCGGAGGCAGCCATGTGTCCTGCTACAAAGGTTGCCCTAAATATAAAGAGGCTCGGGCAAAGCTTCTTATCAACAAACTGCGCTCGGAGCTGCCCACCTCCTCATCTGGGAGCGGCGGGCGCAGTGGCGCTAACACACGCTCTGGTCAGCAGCAGCAGCAGCATCAGCAGCATCAGCAGCAGCAGCATCAGCAGCAGCAGCATCAGCAGCAGCAGCAGCATCAGCAGCAGCATCAGCAGCAGCAAAAACGGCAGCACCTACAGCAGCAGCAGCAGCAGCGTCAACATCAGCAGCAGCAGCAGCAGCAGTTAAAACAACAGCAGCAGCAAAAACAGCAGCAGCAGCTAAAACAGCAACAACAGCAGCAGCAGCTAAAAAGGGAGCAGCAGCAGCAGCAGCAGCAGCAGCAGCTAAAACAACAACAACAGCAGGATCAGCAGCAAACTTCGCCACGGCCTCAATGTGGCCCGGTGGATAATGCACCACGGCTACTTGCAGTTGAGGCAGGTCTAAATAGACTGCTGTTAATGGAACGCAAGGTAGATGCCCTTGTTAACCTGGTGCAAGCCTTTCTGTCCACTAAAGGGAGTGACCTTAGTTCGCTCATACAAGGACATAAAGCTAATTAAATAAAAAAATACAGACACCTCAAATTAATACAGCACAACAAGCTATCACAATTTCTACAATTTTTATTACAATATAAACTTCATTATAAATTATAAAATCACAATATAAAAATTACATACTATAAACTACATAATACAACTATAAAACTACAACATAATTATAAAGAATATAAATATAATTATAACATATTAAAATATTAAAATACTAAAACATTAAAATAATATCCAGCGCGATTTCTGCCGCCTGCCGTTAACACTGCGAACTCTCGCCAATATTTGTTGAGGTGTCTGCATATTACTTGCAGTGGCTTCGCTGCTGCCTCCCAACGCTAAAACAAAATTAAATAAATTAAACAAACACGCTACTATGCTATATGGGGACAATTAATGCCCCACTACTTACCGACGACTCCTGTATGATGCGGCGCTGCGGACTGCTCCAGATGCACTCCTGCTATTTTTGGATTTCTGGTGCTCCGTCCCTGCATCGTGATACGTTCGTCTGGTACTCCTGCTATTAAAACAAAATGCATGTTATTAGCTTTTGTTTATCTACAAAACACAAACTGCACTTACCTGTTCATCCATGGCTGACTCCTGATGCGGCTCTTCACGTCGAGGGAGGCTCTTTTTTGTGTCCTTCTCTGATGTTGGCCTGCTGTCCGGGGGGAGCCTGTAAAGATTAAGCGTATCAAGTTATTACTTTTTATCATTTTGTACTTTAATTCATTAATTTAATGTTCACTATTCGCAAACATCGTTTGTAAACATCGGCTGGCGTTGCCAGATGGCTGATTTAATCAGCTGTTTTTCTGGCTGCGGCTGGCGCCAACCTTTGTCACAGTGGCTAATTGTACTGTAAAAAATGTTATTTTTAAAATTATTTTATATTTACTTTTTTTTTGTAAAATTTTTTTTCATAAATTCTATTCATATTTGTCTAGTACGTAATGTAAGAACAAATAAAGAAAGGCTTTGCAGGCAACTTTTAGTTGTCTGTGAGCCCTTATTGTGGAGCATCGCGAGCACCACACCAAAAAAAAATTTTTTTTTAACTTCTAACCCCCTCCTTTCTTCCCGCTCGGCTTGGGCTGGGGGCGAGAAACAGGACACCGACGTCGATATTATGTTTGCTACAACAACTATAAATGCATCAACGTATGAGTCGACACAGCTCAACTTCTCCGAAATGCTGACCGATTTTTGTGGGAAAACGGACAGCACGCTGGAGCCTACTACTACAGCCCAGATGCTACAACAAGCTGCAGAAAAGTCGCTGACTGTCTGCCCTACTCCACGCACTGTAAGTGAACAACCCAAAGCTACTTATGCACAACAGCTGTTGTCCACTACAAGTGCGTGCTCTCCCAGCACAACAATTGTGCCAAAAACAGCTATTTCACAGGCCGCTAAGCGAAAGACAAAGCCGCCAGTTATTGGAGCAAAAATCAAATGCCCTGCACAGCGGACTTTTGGCTCTTTAAGCTCCAACCGGCTAAAACGCAGATTCGCTGGATTGCCGAGGAAACCTTCTGCCGGTGCTAATCTTTACAGGCGGAGTGTTCCTTCTGAATCTTCTGAATCTGAATCCTCAGTAAGCTGCCCAAATTCCAGCGTGAAAATTGTGCAGCCGAAAGCTAATACTGACCGTGAGCAGAATGTTGCGGTTGAATCCCATATGAAGAGCAACCAGGCGACCTGCTCTGAGGTTAAAATTCCTGCTATTTTTGTGCACGACGTTATTGAAATCCAGCCATTGCTGGATAAAGCTAACAGCATTCCGGGCATCGGCAAGTTCACTACCATATGCTCTAACTCCAATGGAGTGAAATTCATTTGCGAGGATTTGAACACATACCGTGCCCTGTTGAGCGCATTAAAAAATGATGACACTGATCTACATACCCATCAGCTTCGCAGCGACCGTGGGTATAGGGTCGTCATTCGTCAGCTACATCACTCGACACCGACCGAGTGGATTAACAACAAATTACGCAGCCTCGGCTTTGGTGTCAGGAATGTCAACGTTATTAAGCACAATAGGACTCTCCAGCCTATGAACATCTTCGCCGTGGAGCTTCAGCCTACTATTGACAACTCTAACGACGGGATCCTGTCTCTCACACTGCTGGGAAACCAGCGAGTTGTAGTGGAGAGACAACTGAGAAGACAGGATCCCGCTCAATGTCATCGCTGCCAGCTATTTGGACACACAAAAAATTACTGCCGCCGCCCTTTTATCTGCATGAAGTGTGCGGGAGCGCATCCTTCCACGGCCTGCAGCGCGACGAGGATCGCCAATCCTAAGTGCGCCAATTGCGGAGGCAGCCATGTGTCCTGCTACAAAGGTTGCCCTAAATATAAGGAGGCTCGGGCAAAGCTTCTCTACAACAAACTGCGCTCGGAGCTGCCCAGCTCCTCATCTGGGAGCGGCGGGCGCAGTGGCGCTAACACACGCTCTGGTCAGCAGCAGCAGCAGCAGCGGCAGCGGCAGCATCAGCATCAGCAGCAGCAAAAACGGCAGCACCAACAGCAGCAGCAGCAGCAGCGTCAACATCAGCAGCAGCAGCAGCAGCAGTTAAAACAGCAGCAGCATCAGCAGCAGCAAAAACAGCAGCAGCAACAGCAGCAGCAGCATCAGCAGCAGCAGCAGCAGCATCAGCAGCAGCTAAAACAGCAGCAGCAGCAGCAGCAGCAGCAGCAGCAGCAGCAGCAGCAGCAGCAGCAGCAGCTAAAACAACAACAACAGCAGGACCAGCAGCAAACTTCGCCACGGCTTCAATGTGGACCGGTGGATAATGCACCACGGCCACTAGCAGTTGAGGCAAGCCTAAATAGACTGCTGTTAATGGAACGTAAGGTTGATGCCCTTGTTAATCTGGTGCACGCCCTTGTGTCCACTAATGGGAATGACCTCAGTTCCCTCATACAAGGACATAAAGCTAATTAAAATAAAAATACAGACACCTCAAACATTAATTCAGCACAACAAGCTATTACAAATTTTTTACAAATTTATTACATTATAAACTTCACTATAAATTATAAAATCACAATATAAAAATTACATATTATAAACTACATAGTATAACTATAAAACTACAACATATTATAAAAATATAAATATAATTATAACATATTAAAATACTAAAATATTAAAATATCCAGCGTGACTTCTGTTGCCTGCCGTTAACACAGCGCACTCCTGCTAATATTTGATTGAGGTGTCTGCCTATTACCTGCAGTGGCTTTGCTGCTGCCTCCCAACCCTAAAACAAAATTAAATAAATTAAACAAACACGCTACTATGCTGTATGGGGACAATTAATGCCTCACTACTTACCGACGACTCCTGTATGATGCGGCGCTGCGGACTGCTCCAGATGCACTCCTGCTATTTTTGGATCTCTGGTGCTCCGTCCCTGCATCGTGATACGTTCGTCTGGTACTCCTGCTATTAAAACAAAATGCTTGTTATTAGCTTTTGTTTATCTACAAAACACAAACTGCACTTACCTGTTCATCCATGGCTGACTCCTGATGCGGCTCTTCACGTCGAGGGAGGCTCTTCTTTGTGTCCTTCTTTGATGTTGGCCTGCTGTCCGGGGGAGCCTGTAAAGATTAAGCGTATCATAGTTATTACTTTTTATCATTTTGTACTTCTATTTTAATAACTTAAATGTTTCACTAATTCGCAAACATCGTTTGTAAACATCGGCTGGCGTTGCCAGATGGCTTATTTAAACAGCTGTTTTTCTGGCTGCAGCCGGCGCCAACCTTTGTCACAGTGGCTAATTGTACTGTAAAAAAATGTTATTTTTCAAAATTATTTTATATTTACTTTTTTTTTGTAAAATTTTTTTTTCATAAATTCTTTTCATATTTGTCTAGTACGTAATGTAAGAACAAATAAAGAAAGGCTTTGCAGGCAACTTTTAGTTGTCTGTGAGCCCTTATTGTGCGAGCATCGCGAGCACCACACTGAAAAAACCACACTGAAAAAAAACTATTGTTTTCAAAAAACCACTTTACTGTAAAATTTTATGTTAAATTTATTTTATATTTATTTTTTTTTTAAAAATTTTTAAATTATAATGTAAGAACAAATAAAGAAAGGCTTTGCAGGCAACTTTTAGTTGAGAAACCACACTGAAAAAAACCCCACTGAAAAAAAAAAGAAAAAAACCCCACTGAAAAAAAAAAACCACACTGAAAAAAACACTGAAAAAAAAAAAAAAAAAAAAAGTTAAAAAACTGAAAAAAGTGTAAAAAGTTTAAAAAGTTACAACAACATTTTAGCAACAATTTGCCAAAGTTAAAATGTTTAAACAATAAATATATGCCAAGCAACCAAGCGGCAGCATCATTAATAATAAATAGTTAAAACGGCGCATATAACATCACGCCATTTGTTTTTTCGGCGCAGACAACTCGCTATTAATTAAACAATTAAATCAGTGTTAATCGTTTTCTGTCCTCGTTTTGTGTTTCATTTATACGTGTTAGTGTTCGTCGGCTTTATTGCGGTAAAGCCTTATTTGTGAACTTTGATACGCATGTGCAATGAACTCTTTTCACCAATCGTGCCTGTAGTGTGTATGTGCTGCATACACGCATACTAGAGTGCAACGGTTCTGAACTTGGATAGCATCCACAACGATGGCCAATCAAAACAACTCTAAAGAGAGCGCCATTCCACCGGCACTCGCGCAAGCGCAATTCACTCTCTCGGATCTGCGAGCTCTCTTCTCAGCAGACTCATCACACGATGAGCAAGCAGTGCTGCTTCGCTCTTCGGCAAACTCACCATTTGATGAGCGAGCCGCGTCTGTGCAGTCATCGCTGAGAGCTAATTTCAACTCGCAGTCTGTGGAGAGACTTGCAGCCAATGCAGCTACCACCGTTGTGCCCGCCAGCTCGGACACCGACGTCGATATTATGTTTGCTACAACAACTATAAATGCATCAACGTATGAGTCGACACAGCTCAACTTCTCCGAAATGCTGACCGATTTTTGTGGGAAAACGGACAGCACGCTGGAGCCTACTACTACAGCCCAGATGCTACAACAAGCTGCAGAAAAGTCGCTGACTGTCTGCCCTACTCCACGCACTGTAAGTGAACAACCCAAAGCTACTTATGCACAACAGCTGTTGTCCACTACAAGTGCGTGCTCTCCCAGCACAACAATTGTGCCAAAAACAGCTATTTCACAGGCCGCTAAGCGAAAGACAAAGCCGCCAGTTATTGGAGCAAAAATCAAATGCCCTGCACAGCGGGCTTTTGGCTCTTTAAGCTCCAACCGGCTAAAACGCAGATTCGCTGGATTGCCGAGGAAACCTTCTGCCGGTGCTAATCTTTACAGGCGGAGTGTTCCTTCTGAATCTTCTGAATCTGAATCCTCAGTAAGCTGCCCAAATTCCAGCGTGAAAATTGTGCAGCCGAAAGCTAATACTGACCGTGAGCAGAATGTTGCGGTTGAATCCCATATGAAGAGCAACCAGGCGACCTGCTCTGAGGTTAAAATTCCTGCTATTTTTGTGCATGACGTTATTGAAATCCAGCCATTGCTGGATAAAGTTAACAACATTCCGGGCATTGGCAAGTTCACTACCAAATGCTCTAAATTCAATGGAGTCAAATTCATTTGCGAGGATTTG